CCCAAGTGTAAAAACACATTTGGACATATCGCGTCATGCAATTCGCCCCCCCACCTTTTAGGATATATAATGCCAGAACATCCTGTGCTCTTATTTATATACAAAGTGGCGTATTTCATATGATAAGATCAGAGAAAGCTGTCTTATATGTACCCAGACCAATTTTGGGGAAATGCTACATGGGGCCAGTCCACCAATTGGCTACCAGTGAGACCAAAGCAAAACACAAAATGGCTGCCATATGGTGTGGTATACATAAAATTGCCTGGCTGTGGGGCGTGAAGGCCGCACCCTGCAAGACCCTTTTCACCTGGCCTAGGCCCAGACTCACTAGCCCTGCAAAAGAGGGCTCCCCTTTGAGGCGGGAGGAACATCGCCCGGCTGTGGGGCATGATTCAAAACTTGTGTGAGATTAGGCTGGTGGTATTAAACGGGAAGCAGCAAAAGCAGTATTCCAAAAGGCAGTGAGGTTCTGCTGCGCATGCTCTATACTGCTACATGAATTGTGCAAATAGGCAGCAGAGTAGGGTGCCAGGTCCCCGTCCCCCCCCTCTGCCACAGGCCCTTCATCTGCTTATTTTTCTTTGGGTAATACTCCAAATCTCCTGGCTCCTCCTTCTCTGCAGTTTCTGGGAATATTGGAACCTAAGGGAGCAGCACCAAGTTCTCCCTCCCCTGCAAGATCTCCACCTTTTTAGTTCTTGGGAATCCTGGCTTTGTGATTAGAAAATTTCCCCAAGAACAAAAACAGTTACAGTGGCCTCAGATGCTCCTTTGAAGCAGTAATTTGGAAGATCCTAACATCTTCTCTGCACATCACTCTAGGCAGCTGTAGGCATGAAGGTGGTTTCTGCAGCAGAATTCGCCACAGAGTGCACAATTGGAGAAGTGCCTTTGTAACTCTTTGAGTTTTCAGGATGCCAGGAACGATTTGCACAGTTAACCCAAAAGATGAGCAAGAGATGCATTTGCAGGATCAAAACAAAGGTTTGTCCTGGAATATCAGTTCTGGGAGGGGGAAGAGCTAAGTGCCTTCATGCCCTGCCTGGAAGCTTCCTTCAATCACCCGTCCGGTTTTTGTGGGACATCAGTGCATTGGACTAGAATGGGCTATCGGTCTGTTTGCATGATCTTAAGCAATTGTGAGGTTGGGTAACTCGCAATCTGAACAGCAGTGCCATTTCCTAGAAAGTCAAACATATTTTCTGTTTCTGTGATATTAAGCTTTACTTAGAATAAGATACATTCTCCCCAAATTGCAGTCTCCCTCTGTCCTCATCTGCCACAGTCCACAAAAGTCTGGGTGTCTTTTTCTGTTGACCTTGTGCTTTCTAAACAACTGGCCTCCTCCCAAACCGTAGTGCTTATATACTGGGATGGATCTCGTACACGGAAAACCACAAGAAGAATTCATTTCCACAGCATGTATTAACAGCCCCCCCCCCAAAAAAAATCTCTGAGAATTCCAAAGAGCTCAATATGGTTTCCAGAACCCTGAGAAAGCTGCAGTTCTCAGCACCTTTAACAAACTACAGTTCCCAGGATTCTTGGTGGGGGCGCCTTAAATGTAGGGTGCGGCTACCAGGGTTGCAAAGCCAAGTTCACAGTCCTAAAAAGAAA